TTCTGTAAGAAGTGGAAACACGACAAATGCCAACAACACATACCTATCCTCTTCTTCGAGGGTTGCTTTCTAATGGTGGACGAATAATATTAAATTTTTTTACCAAGAAATTGTAGCCTAACAGGGCTTTACGGACAAAAAACGAAGTAAACCTACCCGCTTCATTTGTGATTTTACTCCACTAATGCGATGCTTAATCATCTAATAAATCATGCTAATGAATCATCTACCAAAGCAAATGGTATCATTTACTTTTGTAGCAGCAAAAGGCTTCGCATTTTTTCTGATGAAATATTAGAAGACACGCGTAGGAATCGCAAATCATGTATTGAATGAATATATGAGGAAACAGCTTGTGTTTTATTCCTTTGCCGTAGACACCTACAGGGTTTTCTACAGATGGGAGCGGGATTCATCAGTACAGCCTTCTAACATATGACAAACCCGCAGGTCCATAGTGAAAGTAAAATAAAAGGAAAGAATGCTTTTTGTTGCTGTGAATTTCAGAGCAAAGAAAAGCAGCAACAAGCAAATTTTTCTATTTTGTCATTTGGTCGCGCAGCGGTGGCCGGGAAGGGTGCTGTGGCCGCTCAACTAGCTGCTGTGATTGCCACACGTTACTCGGCGGTCAGGAAACAATTTCGGACAGCTGCAGGAGGTTTGCACTTCTGCATAGACACACGATTTAACTTCGATTTGGGTGTTGTCGTATTTCAGTTCGTCACTGACTCCTCGTGGACATTCAAGATTTGCCATCTTCCATCTAGTATCTCGTGCCCTTACCAAAAGACTAGCAGCTCATCTCCTGCCGAGATCACATTATCATGATTATCATAATATTGCTCGTTTCCTGTTCGTAATAAATTATCATAATCATAGTAAAATTACCAAGCACCTATCTCCTGTTACGAAGCTTTCTCTGGCTTGATCAGTTATTGCTATCTTAGAAATGCAGTTGGAGTAAGCTGGAGTGGGTATCAACTTGAAAGGGAGAAAGCCGAATTTAGAAGGATCCCTTTTTGCTGGAAAAGCCTAAAAACTGCATGCTTTTAAACGTGTTTGGCAAACCCAGATGGAGTAGTGCGAAAAGCAATTGCTTGGCGATAACTCGCATTGGAAGACAAGCAGAAATTGCTTACAATCGAGAATCTTTGGCTCACTAGATGCTTCAACTTATTGTATTAGAAACAAAAAAAAAAAAAAATAAAACAAAAATAAAGTAAGAACAAGTCTTGCTGCCCGAGCAATCTGCAAAGTAGCACGCATGGCTTATTGCCCGAACATAGCCTTACTCTCTAAGCAACTCGTGAAGCAGCAATTATGGAACATACGTGATGTAGCGAAGAGAAAAGATGGAAAGAAAAACAGACGCCTTATTATGTGAGCAGTCTATAACGTAGCGTATATGTCTTACTTTCTAAAAATTTTACAAGGCAGCAATTAGAGAAGCCTGTAAAACGTAGCCAGGGAGGCAGGATGTGAAGAAAAAAACAATCCCTTATTGTCTGGGCAAATAGTCACGACCTCACTGGACTTCGCGCATGTTTGTTTTGCAGAAGAGCTGCC